TACTATAATCGTTCAGCTTATGGGGGCTGCCGTCCCCCAAACCCCCTGCTTACAATTTTTTCCCAGCAGTGTTTATTCAATATGCGAAGCTTTAAATTTTTCCGAGTTTGAAATAAAGTTTTATAAAGTAGGAAAATCGTCCACATTTTTGATATTCACCTTTATGTGCGGGTGTGTCAAGTATTTATAATTTATCCTGCAATCGACTATACAAATAAAGGTGTACAAATAACACGACGCAATAAACGTATACTAGACTTTAATAGTCTCCTAGTATCTTGGTTCTGTTCGGTTGTTCAAAATACTGTTTACATCACAGTTCAATTTCGGTTGCTCATTTGTACTCGCTACGAAACCGGAGAAAATCTCTGCGAGCCTCGCTTTTCTCTCTGTTTCTAATTAAGCTTGTCAGATAATTTTATATTTTCCTACACTGTACCAATATTGTTTTTATTCTGCAATTTTACATTGAGCTTAAACGTATAGTTTTTTTTCCATCCCAATCGTTGAATTTGTCTTAGAATGAAATCGACATGACTTAAACTCGGACCGCAAAGAAGACCCTAAATTAACAGTAATTTGAACATAACACAGAGGGATCAATATGATGCATGTTCAGTGTTTCTGGCACCAATTTTTGTTTTAATATGTTTTGCATCTGAATAACTGCAAGTATTACTGGGTTATAACAGCGCATTTATTGGTCTACATTTTACAAGCAATTTTTTCCACAAGATGGCAATATGAATATTATATCATAATTGGATGAATATTAAATCCATATTTTACAAAGTGTCAAAAATGTATTTAGAGTATTCAACATTTACTTTTATCATTAAGTGCAGAAATTGGAAGCTTCCATTACAATTGACATTTATATCAACTTTTGCCACAACCTCGTATACTTTTTTGCTGTAACAATACGCTTAGTATATTAATTCTAGTAACATGAACTGCTACCATATTTTTCTGGTTTGTTCATTTTTCAAGAAATAAAATTTTAAAACGCATTGTGTACCCTATGGAAAGTTCATTGAAAATGATTGCGCTCTTGTAACCTTTTAAGCCATACAAATATAATAAAAGAAACTTGCGAAATACCTCTTGCGATTATTGCCTGATAGTCACATCGACAACACAAACCATACCAGCAAAATCAAAACTCTGTTTTCCTGATACTATCTTTCCGTTTAAACATCGCGTTGGTTATCGTTTTCCTGCTTGGTTTTCAATGTTCTTTTCGGTTATACGGATTTTATCTAAAGATTAGAAAAGTTACATGGATAGTTGTCGGCACCAGTTCTAGAGCCCAGTTGTTTTGCCATTCATATGTGTGAAGACTGTTGGTGATTGAATAAAGCAATTCTTCTTAAATTTTCTGTGGAAATAAGAGCAGAGCGACAGCAGGTATAATGATTGTTATTGCAAGATGGAATGGTTAAGAGCAGAAACGCATACACTAAGGAAAAATAAGATAAAGTATCCAAATAGATTTTTAACGTTTTAAGTGCACTGCCATCGCTACAGGTACTTTTCTCAGTAAAAGTATATAGCTTATTTTATATGATAGGTATTTTTAACAGAGACAACCGCCTGTGGCCATTGGTCCTTGATATATTCAAATAGCGATAGCCACAGGCACTTGTCTCTCTTGCAATATCTTCCATTCCATGGCAACCTAAATTACACAATAATAATAATGGGAAAATAAGAAAAATAAGTATAACTGATATAAATTATAGCCACATTTATAAAAATCTAGAGCATTAAGTTTAAAACCCTTAATTATAGTATCCGGGAAAATAGAAGCTTATTTCAATTCTTTAAATATAAAATATTCTGTTTACAAAATCTCCCTCCTCCATTCAATTATACGGTCTGCCTAGGCCTGTTCTTCTAAGCTGCGTAACTTCTCATCGTTTCTATCATTACTTTGTAAAGTAAGAAAAACGATGTATTTTCTGGCTTTTTATGTCATTAAGATAATGAATACAATCCAACTGGCAACACTTTTGATCTTGTTTATTCTATAAATACCACTAATGAAGATAAAAGCACTGTTTTTTGGAATTTTAAGGAAACTCGTAAAATAGTTGGGGCGATTTCCCCTATATTGTTTCACTGACAGCGACAAAAACAGAAAGTCGATATAAACTTATTGAAATTCGAATATTGACGAGTCTATTATAATATTCTTCAACATATTATTTATTAATTTACCAATTAAACCTATTTTAATACAATCAAAATGTTATTCAGTGCAACAGACTCCTATTAAAGGCGATATTGCGAATTTGTTCATGTTTTGTGGAAAATTTCAATTGCTGGGTGGTATCATTATTCTTGTACAAAAACTAACCTACAATTCTGAATATTAAGAAAGATAACTCAATTTGTTAATGCTGCTTTAAACAAAGTAGTTGATCAGGACACATTAAGGAATATCTGACGTAATGGTATAATAATAAAGGAGAGGTTTCAAAGCATTAGTTAAACTTCAGTTTGTTTGAAACAGTAAGAAAATAGTTTAAGAAAATAAATATGTCCTATAATTTACAACGAGGAACCTTTTCTTTAATATATATTATGTCACATTTTTGGTAAAAGGAATGTTTAAACTTTCCCAAAATCAATAGTGCTTTATCTTAATTAAATGCATCCTACGGGAAGCCAGCTGAAATTTGCAAACATGGAAGTCATTTCGTTTAAATAGAAATAGAAATAGTTGTTGAGCTGAATGTTTATTTTTTCATATACTGCCTATGGGACACACGAACAGAGCGAAATTCCTCATGTTATGGCATATAATGCATGTGTGGGACACTTGATCAAAGCACTGCATGTGCAAATTTTGTGTATGTAAGCTAATAACAATTATACATATTCAGAACAAATTAAATCAAGGCAACTGAAATTAACTGTGTTTGGGTATGGGAGCATATATAGGCATAATGCTGTCAAGGATATGTACCTTCTGTAGATATGTTCCTGGTCAACTATATGTGTTTTAGTACGAGACAGTATTCAAGTATAATTTTGTCTAGTACTTTCTATAGATATTTCATCGGTAAACTATCTGTGTTGGCGTCTTGGTTTGCGTATGAGAAAGCATTCAAGTATAATTTTGTCTAGTACTTTCTATAGATATTTCATCGGTAAACTATCTGTGTTGGCGTCTTGGTTTGCGTATGAGAAAGCATTCAAGTATGATTTTGTCTAGTACTTTCTATAGATATTGCATCGGTTAACTATCTGTGTTGGGGTATGAGAAAGCATTCAAGTATAAGTTTGCCTAGTAGTATCGATAGATACTGCATCGGTAAAATATCTGTGTTGGCTTATGAGAAAGCATCCAAGTATAATTTAGTTTAATACTTTCTATAGATATTGCATCAGTAAACTATCTGTGTTGGCGTATGAGAAAGCATTCAAGTATAATTTCGTCATGTAATATCTATAGATATTGCATCGGTAAACTATTTGTGTTTGAGTATCAGAAAACATTCAATTGTCATGGAACCGTAATTTCATAAATTGTATCTTTATCTGTAATCAGTTTGAATGGACGATAATAAATTGATAAGGTCATAGTTGTTAAATAATTCTAGGTTAATTGTTTTGATGAACTGTAGCAGACAGTCTGAGTGACCGTTACATTTAATGTATGATGCATCTGTGTTTTACTTTAATCATTTCTCATTAAAAGCTGTGTTGGCGTATGAGAAAGCATTCAAATATGAGTTTGTCCAGGACTTTTTAGATATGCCATCGGTAAACTATTTGTGTTTGAGTAAGAGAAAGACAAGATATAACTATTGTTTAGGACCTTTTATAGACATGACATCGGTAAACTATTTGTGTTTGAGTAAAAGAAAGACAAGGTATAATGCTCCGTGTTGAAGGCCGTACATTGACCTATAATGGTTACTTTTATAAATTGTTACTTGGATGGAGAGTTGTCGCATTGGCACTCATACCACATCTTTCTATATCTATAACTATTGTATAAGACCTTTTATAGGTATGACATCGGTAAACTATTTGTGTTGGAGTAAGAGAAAGCATTCAAGTAAAACTATTGTCTATGACTTTTTATAGACATGACATCGGTAAACTACCTGTGTTAGAGTGAGAGAAAGCATTCAAGTATAACTATTGTCTATGCCTTTTTATAGACATGACATCGGTAAACTACCTGTGTTAGAGTGAGAGAAAGCATTCAAGTATAACTATTGTCTATGACTTTTTATAGACATGACATCGGTAAACTACCTGTGTTAGAGTGAGAGAAAGCATTCAAGTATTACTATTGTCTATGACTTTTTATAGACATGACATCGGTAAACTACCTGTGTTAGAGTGAGAGAAAGCATTCAAGTATAACATTTGTCTATGACTTTTTATAGACATGACATCGGTAAACTATCTGTGTTAGAGTGAGAGAAAGCATTCAAGTATAACTGTTGGCTATGAATTTTTATAGACATGACATCGGTAAACTACCTGCGTTAGAGTGAGAGAAAACATTCAGGTATTATTATTGTCTAGTACTAGTTATAGATATGTCCTGTGTTTGATGAAAATATATCGAATGACTTGTTTTATATGTTTCAATATATTTATATTGGCTCTTACTGTTTTCCGCTGTACAAATATACAGAGTTATTAATTTTATAAATTGTGACTTGGATGGAGGGTTGTCTCATTGGCACTCATACCTCATCTTCTTATATCTATTGTTTTTCAGTTTATTACTGTGTCAAACGAGTTACTGCCTGATTCGGAGCTAACTGTAAATGTTCCCATAAACTTTGTTCGTTGTACCTTGCAATCGTAAGTACTTACTTATTCGAATCGAATTGTTATCGTATCTTGCGGTCGTATCATATTATACATATCATAATCATTTCATTACGTTATAACAACCTGTACATGTATATGAATTTGTAATCATACAGATAATACTATTAAGTAAATAGTCGTACAAGTTCAGAGTAAAGATGAAGACCAACTTCACATCATTTGACAATATTGATTTGAAATTATGTATAGCAATATTTTCTGCTATCTTATTAATAACTGGAATTTTGAAGAAAATTTGGGAAATACGAAAGCTACCTCCAGGACCATGGGGTTATCCTTTCATCGGACATCTAACATTACTTGGAAAAAATCCTGCAGAAACCTTCAGTAAAATGGCGATTCAATATGGTGACATTTTCTTCATACGCATGGGTAAGTGGCCGACTATAGTACTAAATAGTAAGGAGGCAATCGACGAGGCTTTAACTAGAATGCCTGAAATATTCTCCGATCGTCCAAAATTTTATTCTATAAACGCAATTCATAAAATGAAAGGCCTTGTGTTTGGGGAATATTCACAAAGATTGCGTTTACATCGTAAAATAGCAAGCGGTGTCTTGCAAGAATTTGCGACAAGTAAATCAGCCCCAACTGAGTACTTGGTGAGAAAGGAATCAGATATACTTATTCAAACATGGATGCAGTCACAAGACAATGAATTCAATCCTATACATGATATTGAAATGGCAGTAGGTGCTGTTATCTATCAGTTATTATTCGGTTCCGATATAAACTGTCATTCGGATCAAACGTTCATTGATATGGTTAAAAACCTTAAAACTATTAACGAAGGTGCTAGTGCAGGAAATTTTGTGAATATGTTGCCATGGATACGATTCATAATGCCGTCAAAAGTGAAACAACTCTTGGAAAGATTGGAATTGAACAAAAAATTTGCTGAAAAGTGCATAAGTGAGAGTCTACCATCATACGATAAAAATCACGAACGTGGTATGGTTGATGGTCTAATTACTGCCGCAAATAAATACGCTGAAAAAGAAGTTCATCGTGATGGAATTACAAGGGGTCAGATCTACTCCACTATACGGGATTTCATTGGTGCTGGAATTGATACAACCTCAATAACATTACAATGGACAATTCTGTTACTGTCTATACATACTAACGTTCAAGAAAAAATGCAACATGAAATAGATGACATTCTTGGAGGACGGAAAGCAACACTACAAGACCAAGGGAGATTACCGTATGTGGAAGCAACCATCTTAGAAGTAATGCGACATGGAACAGTTGCGCCACTCAATATTCCACATTCAACAAGTAGCGATGTTAAATTAAGAAACTATGAGATCAAAAAAGGGACTGTTGTTTTCTGTAATATTTATGGCATATTTAAGGATCAAAATATTTGGATTGACCCCAACACATTTAGACCAGAGAGATTCTTAAGCAAGAATAACACAATTATACATGAGAGAGCAGATATAATAGCAACACAATTTGGTGTCGGTCGTAGGCGATGTATAGGAGATACTTTGTCCAAACGGGAACTCTTTTTATTTATAACAAGTATATATCAAGCTTTGGATACTAACTTGCGTTCTGATCCAAGTTATGGACGAATAATTAATCTGAACTGCAAACCTACACCTTATAAAATACAAGTAAATCAAAGATATTAATAATTATTTCATTTTAGTGTTATTTCAGGAAGCTTTTCTATATCGATTGGATTTTTAAAAAATTAAACCGTATATATCATTCAAGAGATCAACATATCTAATCATTCAATAGAAAATAAATGACTTTAAAGAATGTGAAGCCTGGAATCATGTCAAGCTCAGAAACGCCCAAAGATCTGGGAAAGCTGTGAATAAATTATCAAATATCTGCCAACGTCACCAAATTTCCTATTTACATAAATCATTCTGATGAAAAAATAGACAACTACTAACGTGGAACAAATTCATGAATATATTGACTAAATAAACTAGTTTTTTTTATGTATTTCAAATTTGAATTTCATAACATGAAATCTGATTCTATCCTCTAATTATTCGTCACAAACACGTATATGTCAAGTAGGTATGTCAAGAATCAGCAACATATCTATGGATATACAATTGACATTAACGATATCATTTTATGTTAAAAGATTCTATATATACGAATGCGACTTATCACTGAATTTTTACAACCAATGAGCGACACGACTAGTGCAACTAATAGAGCAGCAGGAGGTTTTTACCCCTTCTGGAGCACGTTTGTAACTGAACCTTTAGTTTTTACTTTGAACTGCATATATGAAAATAAGATGTGGTATGATTGCCAATGAGACAATTCTCCACCAGAGACCAAATTGCATAGAAGTTAACAACTAAAGGTCACCGCACGGCCTTCAACAATGAGTAAAATCCATACAGCATAGTAAGCTATAAAAGTCCCCGAAATGACAAATGTAAATCAATTCAAACGATAAAACTAACAGCCTGATTTATGAACGAAAAAGAAATATGATATACAGCAACGAACGAAAACCACGGAGTTACGGGCTACTGACTTGAGACGGGCACATACAGAACGTGGCGGGGTAAAACATCTTAAAAGGCGCCAAACCCTCCTCTAACCTGGGACAGTGGTGTAACAGTACAACATAAGAACAAACTATAAAAATCAGTTCAAAAGGGCTTAACTCATCAGATTGATATAAGCAGAAAAAAACAACAAACCACAGATCAGACGTGTCAGGGAACTTAAATCCCTAACAACAACAAAACAAAAAGTACAAATTTGAGAGTACTCACAGTTACAAAGTATTAACAGCTAGTTCAAAGCCAATAACAACTTATAAAAATAATGTATCTAAGACTAAAATATCAATCAGTACACATCCAACATCCGATGGAATTAGTGTAAAGACGTCATAAACAGTCAGAGAATAACATGCCCTTGTGCAATGCAAAAATATAGGTGTCAACAGATTGAAGGACCGTGACTGTGTATATGTGTATAACATTAATATATAGTATGGTTTTAATTTACTGATAACAAAATCAATATTTATACCAATAAAAACAATATTCAAAGATCTAATTACAGTTTTGAATCGGTAACATTTCAGAATAAGTTTATTTATTTAAGTTTAGATCGTATCTAAATTTTCGGACTCCATAAACAACATCACCGTAAAAATAGAATGTGCTATTCCGTAATATATGTAATATGTCTTCTCCAGGTACGACCAAACCTCCGAACCAAATCTTTGTATCTGTGGAAGAATTTAGTAAAACTTTTTAGAAATTTGTTGTATTGAAATCCTTGACTCAATAAATTACCAGTAATACATAGATAACGTTCATTGAAATTCAAAACGTCACTACAGACATGGGTATATAGCGAACGAGTTGTGATATATAAACACCGTAAGATGGTGCAAAAGGAACATCACCGTCCAAAAACTGAAATTAATAATAGGGAACGAAAACTCGTCCCTTTTGTCGTAAGTTTTTGTGTAGAGTTTCCCGTGTCAAACTGAAATATCTAAATATAGGAAAGGACAGTTATTACCGTTTACGTTTGATTTATTAAAAGTAAGTTCCTTCCGGTAAATTTCGGCAGCATATTTAGAAAATTCTTGATTATTTTACGAAGAAATATCATCAAGAGAACAGAAGGTGTTATTGAATATATCAATTTAACACAAAATAGACGGGTCTTTACTGATTGTGGCCATAAACTGTGATCCATAACAATACAAGAACGAGTCTGCTATAAAAAGGGTGCAATTTGTGCCCATAGGAATACCTACAACCTATCGATAAACGTTATTTCCGAAACGTACATAAATGATGTCAAGGAGAAACAGCTTCAATGATTTCATCACACCTCCTGTGGTTATCATATCTAGCATTAAGTACCTTTCTCATTAGAGAAGAAGGCTTTCTATGAATTGGAGCAAATATATTTACAGAAGATTGTGAGGAAGTGTAGTGAAAAGAATTAAAAGGTCAAAACTGTCAACCGAATCAAAAGGACCATCAAAAGCACGTAATTTATCTAAAACTATTTTCATATGTTTTGGTTTTTTTTATTTTATATAAAAGTTGATGATAAGTTCTTTCATAGTAGTTAAGGAACTAGCAAAAAGCACTTCATATTTTACCGGTTTTTAGCGGACTGGTGTTTGCATTTTCGTCGTTTTTCTTTTTGTTATAGCGTTGTTTTCTTTTCTCGTCTGTTTTTTTGGGGTTTTTTTTTGTTTTTGTTTTTGTTTGAAGACTTGATCATGTAATCAATAAATATATAATAATATCTATGGTCCATAAAGGTTTCTGTACATTTTTCATGAAGTAATAGATACTTTTAATTTTACTTTTATTTTTCTAACTACGTTATCAATAAATACAATAAGTGGTACATATACATTATTATATCTCATTATTTGAGAACCGTGAACTTTTAAGCAAGATAAAAAAAAAACAATGAAAATGTTCAGCTGGAGATATTCAGATCAAAGAGATGTTTTTATACGCCCGGTATTATGCTATACCGTTGTCTGTCCGTCCGTCCGTCCGTCCGTATGTCTGTCCGTCTGTCTGTCCGTCCGTCGTCAACTTGTCCGACAATAACTCAAAAACGCTTTGACCAATTTTCATGAAACTTTGGTGAATTGTTTATATATATTGACGTAAGCTTCCTTTTGATTTTTTTTAAATTTTCGATTTTTTTGTTTCCGAGTTATTGGACTTTATTCATAAGAATTAATTGAGGGATTTTCCAGCTTTCTGACTATAATTCAAAAAAACTTTTAACAATTTTCATGAAACTTTGGTGAATTGTTTATATATATTGACGTAAGCTCCCTTTTGATTTTTATAGATTTTTTTGTCACAGAGTTACTGTAACAGCATATCCCCTGGGTCTAAATGACAATATACTGGGACTTCTTCTTTCAATATCATGAATATTGTTGTTGAAAGACAACGTAGTAATAGGTCTCATGGCAAACGTATCAATCGAATTCAACGAATTAAACATCGTATAAATTATGATCTATCTATGTTTAAAAACAATGGTAGGCATCAATTATTATGTAAACTGGATCAAATACCAATTAGTAAGTTACATGATATTTTCAAGGAGTGTGACACAATCTCGTTCTTCAGCCCATTCTATGAATATTCGCGTATAATTACAGCTTTTTGCCACCATAGACTGTTCCCGAGTATCGATAAACTTGAAGATCATAAACGGCATTTTCTGAAAATTAAATATATTAACAGAGATATTGATTTCATCAACTTTTCAAGTATATTTAATGACTCTACCATTCAAAACTTTATACCTCCCTATTTTGATAACACAGAACCACCTATAATTTCGTATACATACAAAAAAAAAAAAAAAAACAGCAGAAGTTTAATTTTCAATTATACGTCAGAAACACCAGACGTCCATGTAAAAAATAATACTCCTATAACTTGAGACTGTGATTCGTCGAATTTTAGATATGATCTCTATGGCCATGTTATTACGGGGACCTCATATCGTTCAAGACCGAAAGGTTTTTGAAAATTGGACCAAAATATCGTCCTCCGTCTAAAATAGATTGGAAACAGTGTCGTCAGGTCACAAAAGACGCTCTTTCGTCGTATTGTAAAAATTGGTGTAAACGGGAAAAATCTGATAAAAAATATCTTGATTCTTATTTAAATAAATGTATGAATGTTGTGGATATTCGAATATCAGATTTTGAAAAAAATTAGAAATAAATAAAAGAGTACATAATACGCCTATTTCGAGAATAAGAAACAATCTTCAAGTACTTTCAAAGTGGTTTGTGTTTGTACCGACCGACAAAGCAGCCAACAATGTGGTGGTGGTATGCCGTAAATACTACACGGACGTTTTTAAGAATGAAATTTTAAATTCTTCTACATTCAAGTCCGTACGCTCCACAGAGAGTCATATAGTTAACAATCATATCATTACCACATCACAGCTTAAGGCCTCTTCTGAACATTTGAAAGTCTCTACCATGTATTGGTTACCTAAACTACACAAAAAACCAGTAAAATATCGTTTCATCTCGGCCTTTAGTAAGTCGTTTGGTAAATCTGAATGCCAATTTATTTGTTGCAATTCATTTAAAGCCTTCTTCTCTAATGAGAAAGGTAAATATGCTAGATATACTTACTGAAGGTGTGATGAGATGATTGACGCTGTTAATTTTCTCCTTGATAATATTTATGTACCTTTCGGCAATAAGGTTTATCGATAGGGGGTGATATAATTAATAGTACTGCTTCCATTATTGTAATCAAGAAAAATGAAAACAAATCATTGTATTTACTTTATTTGATATGTTGTATCTATTTACACATGTATGATACATTGTAATTACTGTATTTGATATGAGTGTTATATTTATTTACACATGTATGAGGCATTGTAATAACTTTATTTGATATGATATATTAATTATATACTTAGCAGTAAATACATGTAAATTGTATAAGTAATAAGATCAATAGCAATCGTGCTGTATCACCCATCCGTGATGATAACGATATCAGTCACGGTTGCAAAAGCTTTATCAAACCCCTAATCTGTATGACGTCACATCACGTGAAAAAACATCTACTTGCGATATACTAAGTATTATAAAGTGTATATGATATGGCTTTTTCAATATCACACAAATCCTCAACCAATATAATCCCTCGAGCAGAGCTCTTAGGATTAGATTGGTGTCTCCGGTTGATACGGATGTGATATTGAAAAAAAAACATATAATAGTCTCTATTTATTTACACATGTATGAAACATTGAAATTAATCTGTTTCTTGTGGCCGCTGTGATAAGCTAATGTGTATATATTGTAATGGGTTTTGATTTTTTAACGGACTGAACAAGTCATGTGCAACATATTCACATAACATAATAAATTAAGCTAGTCTCTGCATACCCTTATATATATCATTATCGTTACCAATTATACCCTTTAGTAAGATAAAATGTATGTTATCATATTATCAATCCATAATCATTTCTGACGTCTCTGTGACTGTGTCAGGTGCTTGTGTTTCAATAAGTACTCCCTAAAATTATAATAAAATCATTTTATCGTGTTATATTCTGAAATACTAATTTGTATGTGATTTACAGAAAT